ACATCAATGTGTCTATCCACTAACACTATTGTTTCTGTTTCCTCTCATGAAACTCTGACAGATATACAACCGTCTCCTATCTCCTATTGCAGATAATTTTTCAGAATTGGCTTGTGAAGAATACATTAGTGTACACAATTCTCTACAAAGTATGCTTTTAATATATTTAAATAAGTAAGAAGAAAAGCCAAAAAAGACATGTGAAACAAAGTCTTCATTTTATACATGAGAAAACCCAAAACACAGCTTATTGTCTGTCTTAACATGGCTTTACTGCCCACGGTCTTTAATGTCATAACTTATTATTTAAGGAATTTTGTCCAGTAAGTTAATAGTTGAAGATAACATAACTGCAAATTTCAGAAACTTCCTGGATAGCCCATCAACTCTTCAGCAAAAAAGCAACAAATGACACTATACATGAAGACTCCAACCCACCTTCCCTCAAAAATCTTCTTTCTGTATCTATCAATCCAAAATTATATAATGATCTTTACTCAATGATCCAAACCAAGCTTCCATTTGACACCTGCCTTAAACCATACTTCAAAATCTCAGTTACTATTTCAGTGTTGCTTCTCTCTTTCTCAGACACTGCTGAGACATTGATGACTTAGTGTTCTCCTCCAGTGTGTGAAGTAAGAAACTCAGCCTGGCCTACACAACAGGTTGTTTTGATGATATTTTGAAGAGCCAGCATTTAACATAGAAGAGAGTAAAAACTTAAACACTCATATAGTCATTACCCAGAACTGGACATTATTTTATTTATTTTGAGAGGCAGAGAGAGAACAGGAGAGAAAGAGAATCCCAAGTAAACTCTGAACCAGCAGCACAGAGCCTGAGGTGGGATTGAACTCACAAACTGTGAGATCGCGACCTGAGCCAAAACCAATAGTCAGATGCTCAGTCGACTGAGCCACCCAGGTGCCCTCAGAACTGGACATTAACATTTTACTGTATTTAATTTGAATATTTGTATGAAATACAAAATGGATTTTATTAATACAGTAAAGTGTCTGTTGATAAAGATGAAAATTCCCTTTGAATGTCATTATTTTTCCTTCCTAAAGAGAACTGCTATTATAAAATTGGTGTGCATTATCTCCAGTTTACATTTTTCCATAGTTTCATAAACATATTCATCCAGGGGCAATATCTATTAATGTTGTATGTTTCATTTTGAATTTATATGAATGACTTCACACCATAAGTGCCATTCTGCTAATTACTTCTCTCATTCATGCTTCTGAGATCTATTACATCTTTTTGTATACATCTATGCATAAACGTATCTATTTATACATAGTATTTCATCACATAAACATGCTGCATTTATCTACTCTTTCCTCTTTTGAGGAAGATTTAGAGCCTTTCCAAAATTTTATTATTATAAACAATGATGCACTGAATATGCTTGTACGTGTTTCTTTGAGCATATATTCTTTAGAGTATATAAGCATGGGGTTTTTGGAACATAAGATATTGCACATGAACCGTTAACTCTAAAAACAGCTCAAGATAGTTACCTCGATCTTACAGATAATAAAACTGAGTCTTTGAAAAGGAAAGAAGCATGTTTACAGTCACAGAATTAATAAGTATCAAAGCAGAGACTAATCCTTATTTGTTTTGTTCCTAACACAACTTTTTTTCCACAACTGTATTGTCCCTCAAGCAGCAAAAAGAATGTTTTATGTGAATGTGAAAATTACTACAAGCTGTTCTTAGTTTCCAAGTTCCATAAATTCATTCGTCCTCTTGTATCTTACACCTTGCACAATTTAATTCATTTAATTTGAAGTGGCAGTTAAAGACGGCAAATGCTAGCTGATGGTTAATGACCTGTCAACATAGAAATATTATTCATTATAGGGAATCTAGGGAGAACAGAGGCAGGAGAGAACTTCACTTGCTCACTTTCTTCTTCTGTCCATCAAGATAAAAGGTCTCTTTGGGCAGAAGTGTAGTAGAATACATTGGGATGAGTATTTGCCACAGAACATTTAGATTTGGGGAACATAAATTGGGAAAATGATTTGTTACTTTTATGTATGGACAACACAGTTTCTCATCAAGCATGGCAGAGACACAGTTAACATGCTAGTTCACTAAAGTAGAAAGTTACAGAAGAGACTTATAAGTAATCCTTATTTGTAAACATCAAGAAATACAAGAGGAAGGGGCGCCTGGGTGTCTCAGTCTGTTAAGCAGCTGACCCTTGATTCTGGTTCAGGCCATGATCTTAGGGTTCATGAGTTGGAGCGCCACATAAGACTGTGGTGAGTGTGAATTCTGCTGGATTCTCTCTGTCCCTCCCTGCCTCTCTCTCTCTCTGTCTCAAAATAAATAAATAAAGTTAAAAATAAAAAAAAATAAAAATATATTTAAAGAACTACAAGAGGAAGATGAGAGCTCTGTTATTTTTTTTTTTTTTTTGCCTCAGAGACTATTTTCGGAACATCTGGGAGTAGAATCTGGCTACTTCAACTTGTTTACCTCTTAGCATTAGCAACAAAACAATATAGAGTTAAATCCCCACATTTGCACAAAAATTTGTTCATCTCAGAGGCCTATTTGGTACATATATTCCTCTGCAAGATTTCAATGGATTCTACTGTATATTTATTCTTCACTGAACTCATTTATACTTTCAATATTGCAATCAAATCATTCAAATTCTAGTCTATTGGATCCAACACACCTTGTACTATTATTCCTGATGGGTTCTATTATTAAAGGCCTGATGTTCTCTTAATAAATTTTCTTCATTCAGTCCTCATGGGAACTTTATAAAATTGACATTTTGTCTTGATTTTGCAGATGAGGAAAGCAAGTACCACCAAGCTAACAGTAATTTGCTGAAGGTCATTGAGTGAAATTTACTTAATAGGATCTAAAATGATTTAGGTTCTTGTGCCCTTTAAGGAAAAGGACAGTATCAAATTTTCATCAATAGTCCTAGTACAAAATCTGATAGTCAATAAAAATCTGCTTATTGCATGATTGACTTACAAGCCATGCTCATTAATGCTGGTATAAGGCATGGTTTGCAATGAGATTCTGGGTTATTTTGGGCAAAATGGTGTATCTTGCACAAATTAAAAATAAAAAGTATAATTTTGAAATTATTTTTAGGTGATTTTCAAATATAACAATAACTGACATGAAGTAGACATCTAATATTTGTTACTGAATATTGAACCTGCATCAATTTATAGTTAAAAATATCACATGGGGGCACGATATCTGAGGGGTCAACTACAAAGTGTAAACAGTAATACTATTTTTCTTTATAACCTTTCTTTATGTAAGCTGGGAGGGTTTTTTATTTTAATTTATTTTGAGTAGGGGAATGGATATTTAACATTAAAGAAGATAAGGTTTTCCCATTATAGACACAAGCATATAAATTAACATTTTGGTGTAACTTGCAGCTACTGCATTATAATGTAGGCATTTTATTTGCTCATACTATTTTCATCATACTCACTTTTCCATATTAAATATTCTGAACCATTCTAGATAAGCACCAACTGAATTGTTTGAGTCCAAATTAAATCTTTTGTATGGGTTCTAATCTTGTAGAGCCCCTTGTTTCTTTTGTCCTATCATTTTCCACACGAAAGTATTAGCATTTCAATTTGCCTTTAATTTCTAACACTAACTTGAATTTCAATTGTGTATCAAATCTTAGAACAGCCAGTCCAAAGAAGAGAATTGTTAATATTATCAGTTTCTATCAGAGGTTTATTCTATAGACTACATGAAAGTTATTTATTGTAAATCTTGGTGACACCGCACATTTATTGACTCACCGGTAGTAAAAATGAGCTCCTTCAAATAAGGGTAGTACTACATTTCTAAAACTAAGAAAAAAATGCTGAAAAGCTTCATAGTGAATTGATTTCTGCCTCTCTCTCCCAGAATTAAAAATATGCTATGTTCAATTCAAGGCAAAATTAGGATTTTCTTTCATATAGTCCATCCCTATCATTTATTTAAAAAAAAATTAATGTTTTATTTATTTCTGAGAGAGAGACAGTATGAGCAGGGGAGGGTCAAAGAGAGAGGGAGACACAGAATCTGAAGTACGCTCCGGGCTCCGAGCTAGCTGTCAGCACAGAGCCCGACACAGGGCTTGAACCCATGAACTGTGAGCTCATGACCTGAGCCGAAGTCAGACACTCAACTGACTGAGCCACCCAGGCGCCCCCACTATCATTTAATATGATATCAAAATCCAGGTTCATTATTGGAGTTTTTAAAAAGATACTTGAGATGACAAATAGGCAGTGTGATAAGCCTTGCCTCTTAAAATTAAGAGGAAATATAGGAAAACAGGAGGAAAGTGTAATTAGGATTTGAAAAATATATGTATTATAATGTAAATATATGTATACATACATATGTCACATATTAACTTCTAAAAGAATCTTCATAGTTAAACTTTTAAAAGATGTTTTATGGGTAGGCATCAGAGCTTTCTTTCATCACCATTGAGTTTTATCTAATGATTTAAGTGGTTAGCAAATGGAGAATAACAAACCAAATAAATCTGCTGCATAGTGAATAAAACTGCTGAACACTAAATACTAAATACTTAAATCATTATAACTACTAATGATAATACAACAGTGATGATCAGGGGTAGTGTTAGTATATTATATTGCCATTGCAGCAATGTATCAGATATTGACCACTGAAAATACAAGATTTATTAATTACATCAAGCTTCAAGTGACTTCAGTACTTAAGATACTATAAAAATTCTCATATCAAAAGAAGTGATCTTATCTAGAAAAAAGAATGCTTCCTCCCTAACCCACATAGACCCAATGGATTCAAAGAGATTGATAAATTCTTGATTGAATTTATATTATTAATCTTTAATATTTCCTTTCAGCCTCTAGATCAGAGATACAGTATACAAGTGCAGGTTTGTCATATTAAAACCTGCGGTGACTAATTATTAAAAAAAAAAAAAAAAAAGAACTTACCAACTGGTTCCTTCTGATTCTGAAAGAGAATCTTGCTATTACTGCCATCCATGTTTGCCATGTTAATTGTGTTTCCATCTGTCCAGTAGAGTTTCCTTAATTTAAGAGATATGGATTTAAAATAGATGTAGGCCTACTTGTTGACTAGAAACTTACACTGAAGAAGAAAGTTAATATCAAAGTAAATTTTTGGCTCAGGATGAATTCTTTTTAGGAAGGGCCCAAACTGTGTGACACTTGCTGACAGTACAACGCATGTTTGCCTCCAGAGAAATTATCGCTCTTGCTTTTTCCTGTTACTAAAGGACAAACATCTCACTTCCTTTTTCTTCCTACATTCACAATTGAAATATTTATCTATGACTATAGTAAATCATTTCTATTTAAAGTATTTCATTAAGATAGAATCTTCTTGGTTTAGAGAAACCAGATACCAAAGAAGAAAATCAGGTCACTTCATTCATTCTCATTGAAAGCACTGGTGAGAAAGTACTCTAGCCCTACACACTTTCTCTCCATGGGTACATGATGATTAGCCAGAAGGTAAGAGAATATGATCTACTTAGCAGTGACCATAACATCAGCATGCAGTAAATATGTTACTAAAAACTGGTGTTTGAAATGAAATCAGTGACTTTTCCCTGTACCTCCTTTTATTTCTATTCCGAACTGCTACTCCTTAGAAACATACATTAATAAAATCTTATAATAATATATAAAAATCTGACTTCATGCAGATAACAGAAATCTCTAAGCAGGGATCTCTTTTAGAGTTTTCATATTCACTTTTTTTGGACCGTATACATATAATTCCTCTGAATTAGAACAGAATTTTTATATAACATCAGGGCAAAAATTTCTGAAATTTTTGAAAAACTTTACAAAAAATAATCATACTTTACCCCCTGACTGGGTGAGCTGCAAGACACTGTGGCTTATCGATCCCGTGGATAATTGAGGTTTTCAAAGAGCCATCTAATCGTGCGACATTAATTTGTGTTTCATCAAATTCAGAGCTAACCCAATACAAATTACGTGAGACCCAATCCACTGCTAACCCTCTGATACTCTGAATATCTGTAAAACAGGAAAGAGAAAATTAAAAGTGAATAAAGTTTCTCATTCTTTTTGACTTTCCAAGTAACTTATTTTCTGTCTCAGGGAAAATTTAATTTGTTAGTGAAAATTGTACAAGATTGTAATCTCATTCCCTTATCAGCCCTTCTTAAGGCATGAATAATCATTAATGTCTTACTGCTGAGCCATTTGAAAACCTGAAGCAACAATTAGCATTGAAATTACACTAACACTCAGTGATTCACTTGTAAACACTTCGGAGCAGACTCAGACAGCAGTCTTATGGGCCAAGGTGACCAAAATTCAAATTAGAGTAACAGCCTCTCCAGTTGGTAGCACATCTTTCTACTTAGGAGAAAGTACTTGTGGGCCATCAATAAATGGGCTATTTTATGTCTGAAAGTGCCAATTTGTTCCTAAAATGAAATAAAACAATTCAACTTTCCTAAGAAAAATCATCAGAGTTGAACATCTTTCAAAATAGATAATTAACAGAAATTGACTGGGATATGAGCAAAGAAACAAAATCCTTTTAATATTCCTCCAACGTGGATTCTACAGAAATTACTGAAATCTAATTAAGTTTCGATTCATTACAGCCAATATGAATATTTGGGTTGTTATTCCTTGATTATTTAATTAGGCATCTTTTAAAAATGATGGAATTTAGGCTTAAATGCAATTGTACACTTAATTAAAGAAACAAATTAAAATCAAGTGTTAAAATATGATGGATCCTATAAAAGCTTTTTAAAGGTATTTACTAGAAAATCTTTTTAACATATTAACATATAAAGTAGGCCAGTTTAGCACTTGAATACTCTAATTTGGTTTTGTCTTTATTGTACACTTTTCTGTTATTTTGAAGCATACTGAATCTCCAGAGTCCTTTAGACCAGTGTTACTCAAACTTGTAAGACACCTGGAGACTGTTAAGAGGAAGAATCTGATGCAGTAGGTCTGTCTGGAAAGGGGCCTGACATGTTGCCAAGTTCTAACTAGCTCTCACACTGCTCCAGGCAGCAGTTCAAATCCCTAGGCTGCCGGAACCACAGAGTGGCTGTGGTTGAGCCCTCCATGTTGCTACATTTTCCATTTTTACCACTGTTAAAAGATGCCACAATGCTATATTTTCCATGTGAAAGTGACAACACCAGATTTGTAAAATTTGCCAATTATTCCAAAATTTAAAAGCAAAACAGGACAAGGAAATCTGGCAGTTCTGGGTCTATTCTATTGGTAGTGTTGGACTGGTAGGCTCAACCACCCATTGACATCTCCAGTCTTGACAGAGCCTACTTTCTGCTCAAAATCGTCATGTTATTTCTAAGTAACTTTTAAATGTTTTTTTTTTTTTTTTTTTTTTTTTTAATTTCTAGGAGAGAGAGAGAGAGAGAGACAGCTTGAGCAGGGGAGGGTTAGAGAGAGAGGGAGTCACAGACTGAAACAGGCTCCAGGCTCTGAGCTGGCAGTCAGCACAGAGCCCGACGCGGGGCTCGAACCCACGATCCGCGAGATCATGACCTAAGCGAAAGTCGGACGCTTAACCGACTAAGCCACCCAGGCGCCCCCTAAGTAACTTTTAATCACATCTCCCTTGGAAGATAGCCTTCATGTTTTAATTCTCCACTAATCAACAACCCTTCCTCTGCAAGTTACCTCTCATCATTAACTTACTGGTTAGTTGGTGAATCTCAAATGCGAACTTTATTTTTCAATCTGATACTCAAAATTTCTTTTTATTTTCAGTTGTTGTCATCTGAGAAAAAATTACTACAACGCCTCTGTAAGGCTAAACCTGCCATGTCTGATACTTATTTATTTGACTCATCCAGGATATTTTTTCCTTCCTCTCCTTCACCCTGTGGACTTAATCGGTTGCTGAGAGACAGTCTTGCTATAATGAGAATATCTCCCTTCATGTTCGAGGTTGGGTGCCTATTTTTTGTCTTTAATCAAGTCACTTAAAGTTCAGCCTCTATTCTTATCAGGAAAATGAGGCTAATTACAGATAATACATAGGATTGGTGTGAATATTATGTTGGATGATATGCATTTATTCAGTTTAATGCAGGGTTGAAGGGTATTTTTCCAATCCAAGGACTTAATATTTTCTGCATTTTTACCCTGAATTGCTTGATATTGGCAAAAATAACACAATATGTTTTTATTTCCTCTAAAATACATATTATCCAAAGGTTTTTATTTTTGTTTATTGGCTGTTTCTGCTGCTCAAAATCCTTTTATTTATTTATTTATTTATTTATTTATTTATTTATTTTTTACAAATAGTTTATTGTCAAATTAGTTTCCACATAACACCCAGTGCTCATCCCCACAAGTGTCCTCCTCCATGCAAAATCCTTTTATTTATTTCTGATTGACTCTTAATCATATGGTCTAGAGAATACATTGCACTCCTAAATTGGAAAGCATAGTCAAATGTAAGCTATTAATACCTATTTAGTCCTTGTCGATTCTATGGTTCATGCCCTCTCAAATCTATTTCTGTCTTTAATATTGCAATAGCATCCAGTCTTTTTCATCATCCAACCAAATGATTTAGTTGCTACCAGGTTATTTTTCTGACTGGAGAGCTCTGCATCATGACCTTTGTTTGTCCCAAAGATATTCAATAGCTTCCAACCACTCAGAAAGTGATGTCTAAATTCCTTAGCATGGATTTCTATATAATCTGAATATAACTACCTTCCCAACTCTGTTTTTTCACCATTTTTAACCAATTACCTTACACTTCACTCATACTGATATGTTTTCAGATTTCCAGATTTATCCTGACCTTTTGAACCTATAGGGCATTACTTGGTATTCGTACCTTATTACATTTCCTTTTACCTAAACCTCACACAAAAATAAGCAAGCTGATAGGCAACATCAGTCTTCAACTGCAAAATCCTAATCCATTCTCTTATATATCCCAGCCAGAAAGTTTGTCTCTATCTATCTAACAATAGGACTGTATCTGGTCAATTCCTTTGGACTTAATATGATAGTTATTTGCTGACATATTCCTACTCTCAATATATTTTTTGCAAGTATATTGCTTGCTAATATATCTTTATTGTTGTCCCTCTTCAAATGTACACAACATTGCCTTCAACATATTTTATAATGAATTGATTAATAAATTCATGACATACATAATCTATAATTTTAAGGTTATGTGACCTGATCTAGAAATATCAGAGAAGGTCCTCAAGTTCATTCTCAGGAGTACATATCTAAATATGTACTCAGCTAATATTAATTGTCATTCTTTATCCTTACCTTTTTTCTACCCACCATATTAGAGTTTCTGATTGTCAACTTTAAGTCTAAAATAAAATTTTTGTCTCTTTAAAAAATTTTATTTCTGAGAGAGAGAGAGAGAGAGAGAAAGAGAGTGTGAACAGGGGAGGGTCAGAGAGAGAGGGAGATACAGAATCTGAAGCAGGCTACAGGCTCTAAGCTAGCTGTCAGCACAGAGCCCGATGTGGGGCTCCAACTCACAAACTGTGAGATCATGACCTGAGCCTAAGCCTGACGCTTAACCAACTGAGTCACCCAGATGCCCCAACTTTTGTCTTTTTTGACCATTACTAAACCCACGTCTGCTTTTTTTCAGATTGACCTGGTAAATTCACCATAAGGGTAGAGAGGGGTAAAAACTGTCTTGTTTAATGAAAATTTTCTTTCCTTGATAAAAATATTTAAATATAAACTTCTGACTCTTAACTCTTGTTTTCAAGTAAGTCAAAGACCTCTGAGCAAATCTCTCAGAGGGTTCAATTTTCTATATTGAGGGACCTTACCTCTTGAACTAAAAGAGATTAGATTTTTTAAAAGGCTTCATTGTGATAATATTCTCTGAAAAAATGATAAATTATAACTTTAAAATGGTTTATTAAGATCACAAGACAGGGAAGTCTCTAAGTGCTAACACAGACTTACATGTTAGCTAAAACCATAAAGGAAGAGAAATGGGAATACAAAGGCTGGTGCAGCTATAGTGACAAAAAGTTGAAAAATCAAATCAAGTGATAATCTAGTGATTCATGGATTATTAGTTGCTTAGTGCAGAACAGTTCAGTTCTTAAATGCACAAAGACTAGGAAAGCTAATCAAGAAAAATATCAGGTATATTAGAAGGGTATACACCTCAATGTTACAGGTGAATAGGGAAAAAAAGAAAAAACTCCCTGCTTGCTTAAAAAGGAGAGTAACTTAGGGGAGCCTGGTTGGTTCAGTTGGTTAAGCATCCAATGCTTCATTATGGCTCAGGTCACGATCTCACGGTTTCTGGGTTCCAGCCCCACATGGGCTTGGTGATAATAGTATGGGGCCTGCTTGGGATTCTCTGTGTCTCTACCCTTCTCTCTCTCTCTTTCAAGATTTTTAAAAAACTCTTTTTTTAGGGAGAATAATTTAAAAATAAAAAACAAAACTTATTTTCTCTGTTCTTTCTCAGAAAACAAAACTCAAGAAAACCAAATCTAAACCAAACAAAAGAAACAAATAAACAAAAACTCTAAGCATTAGTCTATACTGGGACAAGAGATTACTAGTTTATAAACAAGGTATCCACTGGTTGGATAAATCACATTTAAGTGATTTCCAGTTTATTGTGACTCCCTTTCCCTCCAGCAAAAACAAATTCAAATCCTCTATGGAAGAAAACATATTTCTCAATGCAGCCCCTCACAATTCCCTAGAATGAGCACATTCTTATAATAGATCAGAACTAAAAATAAGACACACAAAAAGATAGAAACATAAGAGCAAGAGTTAAGATAAAAATTAACAAAAGGTTTAAATCTCAAAAGCCTACATGTTTTTGTATTATTGTGCAAGATAAAGAAAAATGAGTGGAATGTTTTAAAGAAAAAAATATGCTTTGAAATAATAAGTCAATAATGTATTTTAAAAATACTCTTGGAAGACATAAATGAGAACCAAAAAGTGACTTATAAGCATTTTATAAAATAATATTAAAAAAGAAA